AGTCGGGTGAATAGTGAAGACGAACGAGCAATTTTTTTCAAAAAAAGAACTTTTCAATTCTTGAAAACCTTATTATCAATCGTGCCACTGAGGCTAATATTGCAATGAAGTCGGTTTTAGATTCTCAAATAAAAAAGTGATCATCTTAAAATGAACAATTCTCATATTAACGATTCATATTGGAATAATTATTTTTTTATTGCGTGCATGACGAATAATATTAATGTCCTAAACATAAAATGAAAAAATTTATCAATTGACTTTAATGTTTTTGTTTTAATAACCTTGAAATATAAATTTTGGAATTTTGCACCTTTCTTGATTGCAAATAATAAAGTTTTAAATTCGATATTTGTCAAGAAGTACCATTCATATTTCAAAGTTTGCCATGCATGCACAACAGGTAGTTCAGTTACGATGACTGTATAACGATTTTCTACTTTATCGTTATAACGATTTTCTACAATAGCGCTTGTAAGAATTCAGCTAATGTAGGACTTTGTTGGTTTTCAAAACATTGTTAGAAATGTTTCATAACAACAGAAAAAATATCCCAATGAAAAATGTATAACATTAGTGAGTGGTCAATTTGAACAAATATTTATGAGCTGTTTCAATTTCAGATGACTGTAAATTATAATTTGCAATTATCAAATTCAAAACCATGGGCACTTTTTCTCATTTTATTACGATGGCGTGGAAGTATTTGGAAACTTGTACTAATCGAACTTGTCATATTTTTGTTAATGTTTTTATCTATTAATATATTTCTAAATCATATAGTTCCAGCAAATGCACGAGAGTAAAACTTTACTCATATCTTTCGAATGATTCCGTTTTTTATTTTTATTTTAATTTTTTTTCCAACTTTAATTTAACTAATAATCCGAAAATACATATAATGTAATATAAGAAATATTGGTTGACTTATTTATTGAGATTTATTCTATATCTTATTAATTATTAAAGGCAAATTTTGAAAAGGACAGATAACAATTTTTGAATTTTATTAAATCAATTTTCATCATTTTATTCAATTCTTGTAAAATGATAATTGTAGAATAGCTGCCGAAATAACACAATGGTGTAAATCACAAGAAACTTTTAAAATGATACCAATAGAATTTATGCTCGGCTTTCTCGTTCAGGCAATAATTACACGATGGCAGAGAATGATTCATGACATTGGTTTCATTGATAGGTTTGTAGTTTTTTCTCAATTTTTAGATTATTTAAATTCTTAGATTTTTTTGATCAGTCGGTTTAATTCAATTTGAGATTAACTTTTAAATTTTGTTACTTCATTCACTATATTATTCTGTGAGATTTCACTGCAAAAGATTGATCTATCATTTGGGATGAATTAAGTTTCTTCCGTTTCCGGAACATATTTTTTATCATGTTAGAGAAGTGATTCATTTTTAACTTTCTTTTTTTTAATTGTATTGATGGAAAATCTTTTCTTCCATTTTCTAATCTTTCTAATCTTCAAGAGAACAACAGGGTCAACCAATCATTTAGTCAATCATTCAATCAATTAATCAATCATCATATCCCTATCTTTTATCAATTGAGAACAATTTTAGAATTTATATCTATTATTTCTGTTGCAGTTTATCATTGACAGTAGCTGGTTATATTCACGGTAATACGGATTACAGTCGTTTGATACGACGTAATATTGTGCGTTATATTTGTTTAGCTCAAGTACTTGCATCACGAGATTTCAGTATTGCAGTTCGGAAACGATTTCCCACAATTGATTCCATTGTTTCAGCCGGTGAAAAGAATTAAATTTGTTTATTTTTAATCTAAACAAATGAAATTGAAAAAAGAAAAAAGTGTCTATGGAAGAAAAAAAAGAAAATTTGGCTTTTGCTCATTTATTATTTAATTTAATTCGTTCATTTAGCCAAGTTGGCTAAAATTATTAAAGTAATTAGATAATTTTGCGTGATTATTGAATAAATGAAATTAAAATCTAACCAAAGGCTGATAAGCAATGTTAATTTTAAGAATGTTTCAAAAATCCTTTGTTTTATCTGCAGAACCCTATTGTGACGATGGCTTAATATTTTTTTAAACAAAAGTTTGAAATTTCATAGTTTTATTTTTGGTTTCATGCTACCACATGAGAAGGAAAAATTCGATCAAGTAGACTGTAATTTTGGATCAAGATATTGGTTACCGGTACAATGGGCACTTTCTGTTGTTCATACTTCCCGTCGAGAACAACTAATTGACAGTGACTACTATTGTGAACGCATTTGTGAGGTTATTTTACAGTTTATATTGGAAATTATCATACAGTCTTGACATTCTTGACGAATTCTTTACGACAAATTTAACCAGATTTATTTTCAGGAAATTAGATGCTTTCGGAATAATTTAGCTAATTTATGCAAATTTGATTGGGTACCGTTACCGTTAGCATATCCTCAATTAGTGTACCTGGCAGTACATGTACACTTTTTTATAATACTAATTTCAAAGCAAGAAATTCTTCCACCAGTGGTGCAAAACAATATGACAGAAATGCCCAGCACTGCAGCAATAGTTAGCAAATGAATATTTCAATTCCTCTTCTTTTTTCTCTGTTTTTTGGCAAATATTGTATTTAAAAAAATCAAAGATACGACAGGAATGAGATGCATTAATACCTTGGTCTTTTACCTCTTTTATTTAGCCTATAAGTTTATGCGTATATCACTGCAGTTGCATCGATGGTTTCCGTTGACACCGGCCATACAATTCTTTTTTTACATGGCTTGGACAAAAGTTGCAATGGTGCTTATCAATCCATTTGGTGAAGATGATGATGATTTTGAAACAAATGCACTTATTGATCGAAACTTCAAAGTATATTCTGATAAAATTTTCGTCTATTTGATTTTTTTTAATAAAAATTGGGAATTCTCAAAATTAATACTTTTCCACACACAAAAATATACATGTATGTATGGTCTGTGTCTGTGTGTGTGTGTGTGTGTGTGTGTGTGTGCAAATGATAGTTATCGCACCAATAATTTCATACCTCGGTTATATTATTGCTCGTTTTTGAATTCATATTACCTATTAAAAAAAAGAGATTTAAAAGAGATTTAATTAAATTGTGAACCAAATCATCACTACCATCCCTTCTACTGCTTGTCTCATAACTGATAATTAAGTAGATTTAAGAGATCCGTTTAATATTCCTCAATTTACTTCTTTTTAAAGGATATTTATTAAAACTAACAAAATTAAAAGAATGATAAATTGCTAAAATCTGATTACATAACCATTTAAGGTCGGGATGAAAATTGCAGACGGTATAAGCGATGATGTACCGAAACAGTTGAAGGATTCATTTTGGAATCGTAGTGTTGAAGCATTATACAGCGAACAATCTATTAGAATTAATGAAAGACAAGATGGTTTAGTGGGTTCAGCTACGAAATTTGCGTAAACATTTGACAAATTCTTGAATTTTAAAATTTGTTTAAAATATGTGAAATTGAAATGGTGATGTATTGACAGCAAAGATTCAGAAAATCTTTCAAAGTGTATGTGCGTATATTTCACATATTTAAACAAATGTTTGAATTTTTTTTACCAGTTAAAAAAAATTCAATAAGATAAAGAATAATATTGATATGAAAAGTTTAATTAGCAACAAATCATTCAAACATTAGCAGGAAAAAAGATTGCCAGATATGTTAAAAATGTAATGCTAAATGTGAAAATTTTTTTTGAAATTTATATCAGAAATTTTTTCAGGGAACCATGTGATGTGAAACAAGTATTGATGATACCGTTAAAACGAAATAGTATAGGCAGCATCAGTAATGGTAGCTATCCACTGTGTGTAAGACAACGATCACAGCGACAAAGTTTTACAGATGATGGAAAGTACGTAAACTTTGTTTCATGATAGTGAAATACAATTATTTCACAAATATTGAATAGTTTGATCAATAGAATTGCAAAATGCTTCATTTCAAATAACATAATTGCTCAATCGGCTATATATTTGTTATATAGAGAGAGAGAGAGTGAGAAAGGCAGAAAGCACTCCAATTTCAATCGCTTTAACCTATATTCTAATTCTATCATTCTAATCAATTTAAAAAAAAGTGAAAATTTGAAATTATAAATCATGACTTCTATGTTTACTTTTCCATTAATAAAAAAGAACTCATAAAATCTCATCTTTTTCAGTACTAATATCGACCGACGCTTTTCAAGGAATACTACAGGGTGAGAAATGCCCGTTTCAATCGTTATTTTTTTGAGTAGTTTGAAAATCCATGAAATAAAATTAAACATAAGAGACCTTTTCAGTAAATTACTTTAGCGCTAGTCGGACTACGTTCAAGATATATGTCTCGATTCGCATGTGAAGTTCAAAATCCAATTTCGCTTTACAGTACCCTCGAAGAACATGCTGCACATAAAAACACATGGTCATTGGGTCATGATAAAAAGTCTTCAATTTCTGTCCCATTAAATGAAAAGCTATGCCACGCGAATCAGAGTTATATAATGGACGTACAAGGTAATGTAAATAATTATTACTATAAATCCAAAATTTTGGAATTTAAAATTTAAGGTAAAGCAAAACAGCATTTTAAGGAAATTATTTATTTTATACTGACCTATGTCATTTGCATGACTCATAACTGCTCAGGGTGTTACTATTGCTTTACGGTTGAACCTAAACAACATGTCACACAGATCCAAAATAATAGCTTAATGTATTACTGAGTCACGCAAATGACATATTTCATTTAGTATTAATCTTTACCAAATCTTGAAGTATCCTAATTTCTCGTTATTCCTCTCTTAGAGGTTTCTGCGATTAGGCTCGAGTCAGAAAAAAACAGTCAACAAGCTCACCTAAAACTAAAAATTCTTTAAACATTATTTTACTTTTTATAGTAACGGACGACCCATCAAAACAAAATGACATTGCCGGAAAATTGAGTCTTTTACAAACACCAGAGATCACGCAATATGGAAAACAGGGAAGAAATACATCAAATCATCTGATGACAGATGAAAATAAAGATGATGACAGTTTTGAGCAAGTTGCAAAATTGTAAACGAGGAATTAATGAAAATTTTTTTAGAATATGATTCAACAAAGTATTGACGCAATTAAAAAAAACATTTCGAAAAGCTGGAAGTTTTGAAGACTCTAAACATTAAAATAGTTAAAGGCACTAAAATTTTATATTTACATACATTTTTGAGGACTACCTGAAAATTCTAAGAAACATTAGGCATTAATAAATATAAGAATGATATACGTGAACTAATGTTGAGATTGATATGTCAGTAAAAACTATGGTAGTCAAAAATTGATGTTAACTTATTTAAAAAATGTTATCTCTAGCTTTATGCTAATGTTAAATTAACGCTACTCTTTAAACCCTGATAATTTATAAGGAATTATAAAATATCCACAGAAGGTCATGATAACTTATTAATGTTTGCATGCTTAAAGATCTATTTTTTATGAACTAAGTATTCCTGGGCTTTTCGAATCAAATCCTGCATTTCTTTGTATTGTACCAGCACAATAGCTTCATCGGCCGATAACCATCTCCCATCTTTATGCTCATCTGATAATTTAATTTCTTTATCGTCCTTCAATTTTGCCAACCAATACTTGACTGTTTTCTGGAAAGGAATGAATCCAACATGTTTCAACGAATATAAATGAAAAACTCTCTAGGTATGAATGTCGTAGCTCTTGCTTATAGAGCGCTAACCATTTCGATATTCACCTAAATAAAATGAACGATGACTATAATTATAATAATTACCAAGAATAAATTAAACCTCCGAAATTTCTCACCTGTTTGTTAACCTCTCCTTCATAACGGTTATTTTTTTTCACTACGTACTCCAGAATTTCCATAAAGTCCATATGCACATCCAAGTTATCAGCCATTATTCCAGCTTCTTCAAAAGTTTCGCGCAATGCTGCTGACCATTCGTCTTCATTAGAATCAACGTGACCTTGACAGTATTAAAATAAATTTTGTGTATAACAATGCCAACCTTCAATCAAATTTCATCCAAAATGATACCTTAAAATCAAATTTTGAGCTCTCAGGCTCTGAATCTACCTAGGGCTAACTTACGCCAATAATGAGAAATTAAATCTACAACTTCCAACAATGTCCTAAAATTGAATTCAAACTGGATAACTAAAATTAAACTGCGAGAAATGGATTCCCTGAAATCCATGGAGTCTTACCTAGAAAATCGACAGCAAACTACAAAAATATAAAACATCTGTCTAGAAATAAAAGTATTACTTGAATATATGTATCGGTAAATTGAAGAAGATTAAAAGAATGTGACATAACGAACCTAAGAGAAAAGGACAATACGATGCACGGATTCCTCATATTGCTAGAAATTTAACGCAGTAAAAACGAAACACAATTAAACCAACATGTGGCTTCTATGAGATATCATGAAATAAACAATCAAAACAAACAGAAACCTTTTGGTGGAGACCAATGATATGGAGAATAAGATGCCTGCAATAATAAATATTCAATTTGACCAGCTTTATGACGATAAATTAGGATACCCGCTGCACGTACAACATCAGCCATCATGTGCATACGTGAAAAGTGGTGTGAAACACGTCTGGAGGCAGCAACGCGAAAGTTGGCTTCCAGTGAGAAGCAACCATCCGTCCGATCGGCCAACCGCAAAATACAGTCCTCGAAATTCAGATGAAGATTTTTCAAATTTGATTATTTGTCCAAATTGAGGCCTTTCTCGCTGCGCCCTTCGTTATCACTACATTTCTTCCCTAATAACTGATACTAAATCTCTCGTAGATAAATTACTATTGTTTTTTTTTTAAAACATAAGCGGTATATCACCAACCGGCTAGTGTGTTGAGATTTTCCAATGTATAAACCTCACTTTCCATTCTTATCTCTTTCTTCCACTTTATCTACTTCATACCTTTTCCTAACCTCTTCATTTTTCTGTGTTCCTCTTCTTTCCATTGCGAAGATTATAAAAGTATTTGTAGCAATATTAATAGTAAATTTGAGAAAAAAAAGAGACTTTCAGTAATTGGAATTTTATTGCGAATTTTGATGAAGCAAGTAGCAATGGCTATGAATGATGTGCAGGAAATGCATGAAATATCACAAGTAAAAAGAAAAGTTGAAATGTCGGTTTTAAATTATTCGTAACCAGGGTGTATCAGGCCAACCATATAATTTCCAGCACTCAAACCTTTGAATTCTGCAATTAAAGTCCAAGTTCCACCGGAGCTTTACTATTTTTAAGCTTTTAGCATTTTGCAAATTATTACTGATGAAAAGTCGGTATAAGTGCAGAAGTCGGAACTGAAGGTCACGGGAAGATTTGAACTCCCGTCGCAGGATTCAGAGTCCTAAGTGCTAACCACTACGCCACGAGGCCACGGATACCTCCCATCCAAATTTCTATTCAATGCATTATTTGAAATTTAAAAGCTGAAATAACTTTATATAAACATCTATATGATTAAAGCATATTTGGATTTTAAATCTATGTTATAGAAATCCATTGTACCAAATATTTTTAGTCAGATAATAGAGTATATTTTGGTCGATATTTCAGTTCATTGTAAATGTTTAACTTCAAATCGGCTTCATCTTTAAAGGGCTAGATGACCGTTGATTAATTACTGGCCTTATCTTTATATTTCTAGATGATTGGTCATTGGTTTATTTATTTCGTATATTTAGATGAGTTACTATTGCTTTATCTGTTGGAAGTCTACACCACTGAGTATCGTCTACTCGAAGGATATCATCACAATTACGGTCAAAAGACACTGTGTATCATCATCCAATATCAGTGTCCGATATCAGATTTAGTATCAAAGGAAGCTGTCTTAATTTAATTACAAGCATTCTCTCAAGCAGATATCACCAGCAAGCAGTTCTAAATCTTCCTTTTGGATCAACCAAAAAAAAACAGAGCAAACAATTAAACGATAGAGTAAATTAACTATAATCCTAAAGATTGTATTATAATGTCAATAGGAATAAATCTATTCATCAGATAAATCTTCACTATCACTCGACGATGCGTAACGAAAGCTCTCCTTTAAAATAATTCCGCAAAACAAAATTGTTAACTGTTCAATTTCGTATTTTCATCGTTTTTGCATTCAAAAAAAAGTTTTACATATATCTTTCACTACGTTCCATCACGTATTTCATACATTTAGATATCGATAAAATCAAACAAATAATCTGCAGTAAATAGAATGAAATGTTAAACAAGCTAAAATTTAAATTAACATATGTCATGCATTGATAAACGATGATCAGATTTGATAAGACTTCAGATCATTTGGTAATATGACTAGAGATATGTGCAATGACAAACAAATGAAGATGATAGTGCTGAATTCCTCTCATGAACTCACTTTCTCAATCCAAATTTCCTGCAATAATTCCATTTCAACATATCTATCAGCTACTCTTTTTCTGAATTTATTTTTGTAGCTAAAAATTCTTAGATTAATTATATATTTCATCTCGTATTTCATTAGTAGAGAAATTCTTGTAAATGCCAGTCTAAAATTTTTGCGTCAAACTTTACGCTCTAAAGTTCTTTTTATGTCAAATATCCTTAATTAAATCTAGTTTTGCACTAGAGCATCATTATTGGATAAAATAAATGATAGTAAGGTTGAAAAGTTTATGGCAAAACCGAATGAGAAGATTTAATCCCAGAAACAGAGCAAAATGATCCTGTCAGTTAATTATAAGGTGAGCTAGACATAATGATGGACTTTCATGGTGGAAAATTTTCCGGATCTTAAGTTTGCTTCTATCTACCCAGTAGATTGTCGCATCTGAATTTCTTCGATTATTGGTAGTTCCTCTTTACAGTGGTATAAAGACAATAACGGGAAATCCCGTTTTTATCTTAATATATAGGGAACAACTAGGTTTATAGTTATGAGACAATCCCTACCAAATTTTGGATCTCGACTTTCTTTCGTTTTAAGCGGTGTTTCGGAATTTTGTTACTCAAATTGTCCATTTCCCGATCTTTTATTCTGCTACAATCTTATGAATCTTTTCTCTAAAATGAGTTAGGTTATTAATTATTAAATGGTACATTCAGGAGTTGTGTGCAAGTACAGGATAGAATTTTTATTCTTAACAAATGCACATTACGTTCTGATCAAAAAAAGGTTTACGTGAAGATGCAAATGTGCAAAATTCAAAACATCCTTCAACAGATGTCAAAAAAACCTGTAATTAAAAAGAGTAGGGTCGGACACGCGTTTTTTCAGATTAATGCTAACGAATTTAACGCCCAACTAAATTTACGGAGGCGCTATTTTTTATAATGATTTCAAGTCTCATTGAGAACGATTGTTTTTTATTTCAAAAAAAAAAAATTGGAGATTTCATACAATTCCGTTTCAAATATTACATATAGCTATCATATAAGAAACATTGAAAATAAGGCTTTTATAAATGCTCACATCGATAAATAAATGAGTCAACTTAAAATAGGTTGAAAATATTACGCAAAAGAAATTAAAGGAGAGGTCAAGCTCCATAAGTAGAATGTTCAGGAATAGCATTTGGACTAAATTTTTTATTATAACGAATAAATGTTCCGTATTATTAAATATAACGAATAAATGTTTTTGTATTATTTTTAAAGGAAAATATAAAAAATCAATTTCAAAAGACGGCTCCAAAAAACAATCCAATTTGAATGAATGCAGATCATGGAAAATTTTTAACAACCCAACAGTAATAAATCATTCAGCTCCATTATCGTTATTCATTCCATTTATTAATTCAACAATCCAAACACCATCCGAATTACGTTGTTCCTTGAATAGCACATGCATCAGCTGTCCAACGCAAGGTATTTCATTTATACAGTAATTAATTGTTTTAACCAGTTGCGCTTCATTCAGGGAAGCCAAAATGCAGGGTATTGCTAGAGCAGGTTGGGTGCGAACATTTGCAGACTGAAATATTTAATTAGTATGCCTCAGAATTCAGGCTCTGAACCCGAACAAAGTGATAATGAAAAACTGTAAGAGTAACTTCATACGAAGCAGCACTGTAAAATTTGAACACACTTCGGCGACTTGTTATTAGGACTGCCAACAGGCGGAATTTTCAAGCGGAATTTACCAAGTCTTCTATAGACCATAATTGATTTCGCGGGATAGTTTCCATATGCCCATCGTCAATATGTCGTACGTCTACAAGGTTTTCGCTGAAACGCTCAATAACTGCTCTAACTTTCGTTCTTTTAAAATCGTTGCATTCTACTACACAAAGTGTACCAACTGCCTGCAAATATATAGTAATAATGGAAAAGAAAAGAACTATTTAACGTATTTTTCACATCATTCTTGCAGAAGTTTCTTCCCACAGTATTTCTATGAACATTAGTTGTTATATAACATAGTGATTTGATACTATCAATCAATTTAAAACAAAGATAAATGCAAGTAAAAGTAACAATTCTATTAGCATTCAGTTTCTGCGTCGGACATAATAAATCAAAACATTCAGCAGCTGTATGCTGTAATGCTGTAGTCGGGATTACAAAAAATACTGGCCAATCAGCATCGCTACCGACTCTTCGCACAGTCAATTCACTTCCACCAACGATACTGACAAGTTTATGATATATCTGGAAATCCAAACTCGTACATTTAGCACAAAATAAAACACTGTTAGTATCATGAATCTAATAAATATTTTTCTGTACTTTAGAATAAAGTTAAAGTAAAGCTTTTTGAAAAAAATCAGTATTTATTAGATTGCTAGATCTTTTTGTATAGGACCTATTGTAGAATCTCAATATGGAAAAAACATCTATTGTATAAGCATAGAATTATCACACCTGATAAGTTGGAAATGGCTGTAGTTCGTTGTTTTGATGCGTGAAGATTTGTGGTTCTGATGGTAGAGACTAAAATCGATCTCATTTCTCAATCAAAACAGAAATTCTATAATTCATTTCATAACAAGGAAGTGCAGATCAGAAGATTCATAAAACTGTAAATACCACTTCCTGCTCTCCATAGTTGCTTGTAGTAATGCATAATTGACTGTAATCAGCTGACTCGTCAGATGTATAAATCGGTTTTCTAATCAAACTTGAAAGTGATACATCGGATGCCTGTGAATATTATATGAATGGATGAAGTTATTTAAAACTAAGCTAAGCTGAATGCATTGTTCTTATTAGCACTTTCCCCAAATGTTTTCGAAGAACTGCAAATGGAAATAAAAAACCACTGTGTCTCCAATAGCATTCCGTGAGTGTTCTAGTTTCAACTGCATAGTTTGTCGACTTGAAAAGTCTGGTAAATTATTGGTATATTGCGAAACTGCACTCAGCGAACGTTCCGGAAAATTACCTCGAATATCTGAAAAAGAAATTTTGCACCGTATCCGATTCACATCAGAATTATTCATGAAGATGTGAAATACAGTAACCATCGAATTAGATTGCTAGCATTTACCATGTGATTGTTTTTTAGCAATATTACAGTAATCACTGATTGTTCGATGTGGTGGTTCCCCACGTTCTAATTTCCAATGACAGCTATCCCAAAAAGAATCCGCTGATACAGAAATTTTGCAATCTAAAACAAAATCAAATTTTACTGCATTTCAATACCTCTAGTAAGTATCTGTGATTATTATTTATTTCGCCGAAGTTTTTAATGCTTCTGTCATAGCATACTAATTTCGATTTGGATTTAAACGAAGGAATTTTTATAAAATTACTTGCAATCTAGAAAAGTCAAATTTTAATGCATTTAAATATCTGTAATTAAACAAGTACGCGTCAAGTAAATAAGAAAATAGTGAACAAATGACAAAAAAAAGTGGACGAAGCATATTACAGCATAAAAGTAATGTACTTTGGATAACCAAAAAAAAATTGGAGTTTATAAGAACAGGACAACCTGTACTTGAATTCGAATTCATGGAATTCGCTTTTGATGTCGGAATAATAGCCTGTAAATGTGTTGAACGTTTCTTGTTTTTTGAATTGGGACGAAGTGAAGGTTGAATTTTGCTATTTTGCAATGATAACGGCTCTGCTGAATGTCCATTGTTTCTTTCCAAGGAAGTATCGTTGAATAAAAGCGCCCGTGTTGCTTTGGATTTTTTTTCTGTTGTTGCTTTGAATCCCATGTTGTTTTGAATTCGCCAGTTTTTGGGGGTATCGTGCTGCAATAATATTAAAAAATAGCTCTACTACGACCTGGTTTTTGAAACCTCAATTTTAAACTCTTGAAAAACTATCTAGAACTGGTCATTGCCTGAAACTCCCAAGAATTTTAACAAATAAACAGTATTGCAAATTACGTAAAACGAATAAATGAAATGAATGCGTTAAATCAATTCTTCATAATTTACGTTGTTCAAAAGATTAAATTTTAGAGACTTCACTGAGTCTGATGCTAGTCTTATTTACGAATATAAACGAAATCAGTTTTGTTAAATCAATTTAAATAAACTAAATTAGCATTTTAAATTACTGATGAGTACAAAAATCATTACATCGTTTATATTCCTGCTGTATTTCGGAATTCCAAAATGATAATCATTCGGTATATTCGGAAATGATACCTGTGTATGCGGTACATAGGGTATCGAGGAGCACATGCTATTCCTAAAGTGAAATGTTAAAAAATTGTGAGTTTTTAATTTAAGATATATGAAAATGTTTTAATTTCACTGAACTAAATATAAATAAGCTAGATAATAGTGATAGAAATCAACATAACCAAATAATTGAGGTCAATTTTTCTCGGCTTTAACAAAAAAAAAGATAATGTTAAGTTATTCCAATGGCTTCCTTCTCTCCTACTAGGACATTTAATATAACTGTCATAGCCAGGAGTAATGAGAGAGTGAGATATACTATTACAAGTCGTCTGACTGAAATTATTAAAACTACTACTCCTTAATCAGCTATTTAATAAAATAAAACATCTTTGGAGTAAATCTCGGCCTTTGAAAAAGTCCCCAGTTAAATTTTATCAAACGTGCAGTTATACTATTTTTTATATTATTGTTAGCTGCTTTTTTGAAAAGTTTCTTTTAATTTGAAACGGTTTTATTCACCACATTGCGCTTTACTACCAGTTAATTAAAATATATTAAGACAAACATTTGCTGATACGGTAGATTGCATTGGCTTGTGGATGTTACAACGCTCGATGTATGTGCAGTCGGAAGATAGCATGGCCACTGCTGTCCCCATGATTGATTTACAGTAGCATTCTGTTGCTGTTGTGGTATATTGACTGCATTATTACTATTATTTTCGTGTTGACTGTAACCATTTGTAGTATACACAGGAACGCCGCAATAATTAACTTCTTCCAGTTTCGGATAAAAACCATCCTACAAAGAAACTTCGCATGTTGAATAGCCCTTTTAATCTGAAATCAGGGAAAATACTAAGAAAAGAAAAAAGATTCCCGAATGCTGTGTCAAAGAAGGCTTTTACAGTTCTTCGTAAGTCAAAACAACTACTGATCCCCGCAGTTGAAATCGTAACAAGCTGTGACAATTACAGCAACTGATAAAATTGGCAAATGGTGTATTTTCTATTCCATTCGACAGTTATGCTCTAAAATCTAGTAAGTAGCATAGAGTTTTTGCTGTTTTGCTTGATTTTAGACTAAACTGGCAATTAATTAACGATGAAAAAATAAACTGATCAAGTCCTTTCTTCATAAATTCTCTTTAGACCTAAATAATACATACCGCTTTCACAAAACTTGAGTTACTGGAAGCAACCACATCCAATTTTGCTGATATATCCCATAGTTGCATTTGCAGTGCTATCAGCTGCAATTCTCGTTCTTTCTCGATGCTGGAAAAGAACATATAATTCCTTTTATTAAGGAACTTGAATTAGAAATTCAAATTTTATATTATTCAGCGATTATTCAACTCATAATATTTTCTGATATAAAACAAATCCAGAACTATCTGTAAATAAATAAATATTAAGCTCCTTCTATTTCTCAAAAAAACAAACCCATACTCCGCTCACGCAACTTTATTTTGGCAACAAACCTTTCGTTAGTAAAGTTTTCTTTCTCTTTTCTTAGCAGTTGTTCCTGTTCATTTAACCGTTTTTCTTCTTCACATAGTTCCTTTTTCTGTTGTTCGAGCTTTTTAGTGATATCCATCTTCAGCGCATTTTTGATGTCAAAAAAAAATTTCTATGAAAACATCATCTAACTTTTACTAAGCGGAATCTTTAAATTGAGAAAAACAAAGCATTGTAAAAGTCAGATCTTTCTTCTTGAATTTTTTTCTTTAGACTTTAGCAATTTTAATTGTTATCTTGTTATTAATATGAAATTCAAATTATTGTTTTAGTTATTCCAATTTTATTAAAAAAAACCAAATTAATGTAGTTCAGTAAAAAAAGGACAACTTTGTGATGCAGTATCGGTATTCATCCCTTTATTCATGTTTTTTTTCTCATTAATTTCTTTGCGTACTCGTGGTTTCTTGTAGTGAAGTACAGAATCTGTATCCGATAATGTTACTTTTGCCCAATATAAATCACGGGCACATTTTAATGTTAAACATACATTGTAATCATTTTCATCAAGTAACTGAAAAAAGCTTATATTGTTCGGTTATGATCTGATTAAGAAAACTTTCCATTCAAATTTTAATAATCTCGAATTTTATGATATGTATTGGCTTACCCTTATTCCTTTATTAGCATTTTTTTTGAATGGTGAAAATCTCGTCACTCGACACTGGAATGATGCTGTTGGTTTTTCAAGAACTTCAACAGGCTGAAATCTATCAATATTTACTAAATCTTTCTATTCGAACTATGAAACTACGTCAATGATAAATAGCTGGCAATACTTATGGAATTCCTGTAAAATAAGGCAAATATAATCCTTTATAGTTTCATGTGCACGTTTCACTCATATTCATCAAATAACATTACGCTACCACTGTCTTCATAAATTACTGTCAGAAGTGTTAGTTAGAGTATAAATAGAGTAGTCAGGTTCACTTCACTGCAAGATAATCGTTTTGGAATCATTTGTTTATTGATTGAACCATTTGTAGCTGTCAAAAATGTCACAATGATTCAAACTCAACGGTCAACAATGCTAACCTGATCCTGAAGTTCAAACAAGTCCGACATACTGCATACAATCGTCTGTCCGAAATCAACAAGTAACACTTCACAGGTGTTATCATTTGGCCGATAATGACTTGCTATTGCCCTAAATAAATAGAAAGTGGTTAAATGTAAAATGAAAAACTAAAGGAAAAGATTAGGAATCTTGTTGAAAGCTTTTTTCTAAAAATAAGAGAAATTAAAAAATGAATAACCAGTTAAACCAACTTATTAATAAGATTAAGAGAAAAAATAAATGGACCATTAGATATTTAGTATTAGTAAGTTGTTTCTGCAAATCGTGTACAGAATCGTTTCTGCGGGCAATAACACTATCACTAATAGGGAAATAACCACTAAAAAATTAGTCCGTTATCAAGATGATACACTGAATATCAATTGTCCGGATTATTTTATCTGCAGAAATTTTACGTTACTTGCACGAAGGTAAGCCACTTACGAACCTGAATATTTGCGGCTCAAACGATGAGCTGTTTGACCGTGCTGGACGGATCAAGCGAGCTATACAACAAACACCACGATCTGAGCACAATCGAGATGTTAGAGGAGTTCTCACCGCTACCATGTGCTTAAAAAATGCCAGCATTAATTCCACATTTATTAAATCAAAAACTTCAAGAGATCTGGAAGAATATCTTCAACCAATACCTACTTCATTAAGGATATATGAAACATAATTCACGATGAATCCGTACCAATTTTGAGCAAAGCTGAACTTTCCCAAGTTATTCTAAATGTATTGAAGACGTCTAGAAAGTCATAGAATACTTCAACTACGAACAGTCTATAAGAACAAACCTCTGTCAGATAATCGAGTACTTCAGGATTTCTCATCAAATAGGTATCATAGTCTGTACGCTCAGTTACTCGTGCTGTTAAATGAGTCGGTAATGAAACATTAAACTTTTGAAACATAAATGGCAATGCTGGATTTCTGATTATCGCTGACACTGATGCACTTTTTACTACCAATGCTCGACATTTACGACGAGGCAAACCACTATTATTACCACCGTTACTATTAATGCTCTGCAAATGTAAAAGAATCATTAAAATCAAAATTTTAAAAAAATTCGAAATTTTGAAAAAAAAATATCCACTGTTATTTTGTGGTATTGTACGGCATCAAATTTTCAATTTTTAGTTTCAGCACATATGCGATTCAGGAATAAAAAAACTTTGAAAAAAAAACACAGGCTCAAAATAAGCGACAATAAATGAGGAAAAATGAAGGTGGATAAAACTGGACAAAATTTGTGAAGTGAGCATTTCCAGCAATAATAACTCTCAATTACAAGAAAGTTAAAATATTAAGCAGGTATGTCTAAGATATTCAAGTTTAATTCATTCCGCTAAAAATCTCCCAAAAGCTTTTGAAATAGGAAAATTATTAGATCAAAGATAAGGATGTCCTTTAACACCAAAATCACACACATAAATAAAAGAAACGCTGTACTTAACCTAAAATTTCTCAGAATGAAAAAATGTACTACAGAGCAGAATCATGCCCTCCCGCGCCTGCCTGCTTTATTCCAGTAAATTCCATGAAAAGTATATGTATATAATAATGTCCATATATAAATATCTATGCCATCTATTTATACGACACAACAAGACGAAGTTATCAATATGCTAGAAATTCTAAAATTTTACAGGACTATAAAAAAGAATCTATCGAAATCTTATTAGCATTTCTATACATGATAAACACGCAAGCATTAAAACTTTCGAAACTTCGAAGAAAAAGAAGTGAAAAAATCTATATCGTCTGTATATATTTCAGTTCTCTATTGAGAACTAAAAACATGTTTCAGAAATGTCCTACTTTTACAAAAACTGAAAACTGACGTATGTTTGGAAGGTAACCTTTCTACTAGCAACTGATTCAACGATCATTGACGGATTTGCAACATTGGATCTGATAGTTCCCGAAAATCGAACCTCATCAGCAGCAGGAATTAGAGGAGCTTCCGAGATCTTTTCAACTGTCTGGAATACGGTGATCTATTTGTAAACGAAGGGAAGCAGGCTGACACCGGCTTTTACTGGGATGCTTAAAATCTCTAAAAAAATAGACTAAGATACTTAAAAATAATTGCGCAGTCTTGCTATATTATTCGTTAAAAAAAATTATGTTTCAATAACCAAAAGATTCTTGAAATTCAGTACTTAGGAAAAAATTATATAATCTACGTCTTACCTTCATAGAACATGTGATTTCAACAAACTTTCCATTCTCACTCTTCTTGTATATTTTCGACAAGATTGCTGGTGGATACATTTCTTTTGCTCGTTGGGGGTAATTTGAGGGAAATTCATTGCCTTAAAAGAAAGGATCTTCAAAGAATAGTCACACGTGGGAAGGTTAGAAAGCTACAAAATTGCCATCGACTTGTTCGAAGTTGACAGAATAATCTTATATTTTGCAGTCTTCAGTATTCAATACGTTTGATAAATAGCATAAAACTGAAAATTATGGAAAGACTGCAATCTGATACAAAGCACGGCAAAAAAACTTACAAATTTTAATTATGCAAATCGCTCCTTTTTTCAAGTACGCAAATTCTTCGCATTTTTTCGCATTACAGTGAGATTCCAAAATAATACATAGGCAAAGAGGCGGCACATCACGTAAGGATTGTAATAATTCATATATGTCATTTGCGCCTATGTTATACACCTCTCCAAGATCAATACCATACATCTAAATCATAGGATTTTTTGAAAAATTGTTTTTTAATCAGTTGAAAGATTTACAGCTAATACTACCAATGTCTGATCTTTTTTTTTCTTTCAATCTATTTTATTGAAAACACTTGCACATAATTGTGTTAGAGAAATGATCTATAGACTTTCTGAGCTTGTTCAGGAATTAACAAGCACTACTACTATCGCCAGTTTTGAAATAACGATAAAATAGTATGTTCCACAATTCGCAACCAACAAATTAATGTGATGATTGTTCGTAAATCGACTTCAATAAATTCATACAAATTAAGAACTAAATAATTTAACCATCATCCAGATATAAGGCAGAATAATAAGTTAATCATCATCGAAGTGATAGAGGTGTACCGGATAAGTCATTGTCTTCTTCCTCTTCAGCAATACAGCTCTTATATATCCTTCGCCTGTTCGTACCATATAAACTGTGCCTTAAATTGATAACTTTATTACCGAAAAATATTCTGCCAAAAGTTTGCAAACTGTTGCTTTTTAATGAAAAATCGCGAATGTAAGAACTAATTGATCATATACGATAATATACTCATAATTAATTAATCATATATGATAATATGATAATAGCAAGTAACTAGATTTCTGATAATTTTAATAAAAATAACCAGGAAAAAATTAATAAAAAAACATAAAAACACATCTTCAACTTCCGCAACAGCATTCGCCTAATAAACACTTAAGATTTACAGTGTATCAGTGCACTGAAATACTCTTCCATACGTAATTAGATTTAGTCAAACTTACTCATACTAAGCTGTCCCGATACAGCGGGACGACATGAATCCTTCGTGTCACCTGTTGCTGCAGCGGAGAGACTCATATTCAGATCACCATATTGATTCTCCATACATAACGGTCTTACATATAAGCATTTCGTTAATGGATCCGCCCGTAGAATTCGAGCTTCGAAGCAATCATCTACTGGTAATACCAATGCAGCCGGAACAGAACATGTGCTTGCCATTAGATTTACTGTAAAAAATTTAATAAACAAATTCTTAAATTTAATAATATGCAAATGCTAGAAAAACGAAAATAGCATAAAAAGCTGAAGTTATGCTAAAGATGAAAGTCGAAAACGGAATATGAAATTCAAGCGTAGAAGACACTAACTTGATGAACCGTCATGTCGTAACCAAAGCGCTCGACCATCTGGTGGTGCAGCTACCAAAGATTTACCACCGAAACGCATTTTTTAATCTTTTATTCAAAATATGAAATGAAATAAAAGGGTACTGAAGAGTATTTTCAGAACACTGATAATCTTGAACAAAAATGGATTTATACGATTGCTATTAACCAGTGAATAATGGAGTCATCAAATGAATAACGGAGTTATTAGGAATATCCGACTGATGCAACATATTTCATTATTGTTCTAAATACTAGACTAGCCACTTTCATCGTTCCGCTTATTTATTCATTAATTTTTGAAATATGAGCAATGCCTTCGGAAATTTTTTTCTTTTAAAAATTTCGGAAGGGAAATTTTCAAAGTTCACAAATAATGGAAAACCGAACTCTTGTAGCTTACTCGCCAACCCTCTACTTATTCGTCCTAAGAATTAAAACACTTTGCAATGCTGTCATGATTTTTGGCTGTAAATGACGAAACGATTCGAAAATGCTCTCAAGATATCCCAGACATTCTCACTGAGTTCGGTCTTCTAAATCTTCCACTCCGAAAAAAGAAAAAGAAGAAACCGGAAATCGATACTCCAAAAGAGCGCAAGATCACCAAACCAACCACACCATATCACTCTTTCTATTGTTAGTTAACCTGTCTATTTACGTGCGTGTTCATTGTGTCTTTCATTCTTTACACTAAACATATTTGCATATGACTATTGTCCATTCAGATCTGCACGTTACATGCTGATTCGCACGTTTGCAGCATTTATATTTCAAGTAAACTTGTGCGACACCAATTGTTAATCCATATCCCGAGCACATATTTATTTGTAGGAAATATGTATGTTAATGCAATTTTTGCAAGGCATTGTCAGTGTTCACAAATAGGAAATTGTTTCAAAATATGCACGCATTACTGCTATGAAATGAATACATGTTGCGGAAAATTATAGGTGAGCATACAGAGATTGCACGTAAAATGCGCTAATAGTATGCTTTACGTCTAATGCAAGCCAAAGTATTCTCTTCACCAGGTTTGAAATTTCATTCCAGAAGATCCAAATATACAATTTTCAAAAATATCAAATTTAAAATTTATTTCTGCAGATGCTGGTATGTTTTGAAAGAAATTACTGCGGAATATGCATGTGTTGTTCCTACATGATAACACAAATCAATTCTAAATCTGTTAATCTATGAGTTGTCGACTGAAACGATCTGCATTTTTTCATAACCCTTAACACTTTACATTACAAAAATGAGCCAGACGAATCAAAAAACATCATGTACGTGAAGCGATGGAGGAATGAAAAAATAATAAGCGAATCTGGATTTAGTCATACGCTAATAACAGTCAAGTCGACATCCCTAATTTCGTTCTCTAACTCTTTCCAAAAATTGAATACATGTGTATTTGAAAAATAGAGCAGTTAAATTCCAAATAACTTTATTTAAAGAACCAACAACGTAAGAAAGTATTACCCGTAATGGGACGATGTGAACATATTGAGCGGATTAACACGAAAATTAAATTTTTAAATACTTGAGAACAAATGGTCAATACCACTCAAAATTTCTCGACACCCCTGAATTCCAGAAATGCACAACCTTAATTTTTTCTTTGGAGTTTCTCCTTACAACTTTTAAAATTTAACCATAAATTTCAAATTCTTCATTTCAAGCAAAAGAATTCTATATTTATCGCATTTCCATTGAATTCTTAAATCTCAAATTACACTTTGAATTTGAAAAAAAGTGAAAGTGTCAATGAAAATTTCACATAAACACAAATATCTCAGCCAGGAACAAATATCAAATTAACAAAAGAATTACGAGTCACGTGCAGTAAGTTCAAACCACTGCCTGACCGCGTCACCAATTGTAGCTGGCAGCATGGCGACATGTCCAACAACCACGTAAAATGGAAACGGAAATTTCTGCAAGTATGGAATGAGATTCACATTTCCATCCGCTGTAAACTCAGCTACTTTCATATCCACGATTGACTTTTCGCCATTATCGATTGCCACAAAAAGTACTGTAACCTGGTCAGCATGTAATTCGGCCATAGCCTGAAAGGGCGTGGATTTCATCACTTTAATTTTTCAATATCAATTCGTAAAAGCTGCAAAAAATCATAAAATTTATTATGGATGAGAAGATTAATTTAAACCGACTTTTTTTACTGCTTCAGCGCCATCCGCCAGCACTCCTCTGCCATCCGAAACAATGATCAACATTTGGTCGTTTCTTTCGCGGCCTCTAGCTTGCTCAAAAATCTAAAAAGAAAGCTCTTCTTTCACGAATCAAAGTTCTTATACTTCAAAAACTTAAATCTCCAAATCATCACCAGAATAGTTATTTCTCCAACAAAAACTCCATCTAGCTCTAACCTTCTTGCTACACTGTAACAAATTGACTAAGTCCGTCCGGACTTGATCAAAATTCAGCTCCTTTATTAATTTTCCACCCAAACCACTGCCACCGTAATCTCCGAAGTCGGAAATCATTTTCATCGAACTACCAAATTTGCAGATAGCCAACTGTCCTATTTCAAGTCTTCGTAGTCCACTTTCAATCACAGCAACACTTTGACAAGCTTTCTAAAAATGACGGCTTAAAATCACATCGATTATCAGCATAAATCACACTGCCCATCCAATACAGCCTCATTTACAACTCTTTGTTGAAAGCAGACTAACACATTTATCAATCGCTTTGTGAGGTAAAAAAAGATGTAATACTAGTAGTTTCCTGACTACTTTTGTGCAACACTAATGAGACATCATTATCTATCCGTCTTTTCACATTACCTATCGATCAAAAGCTTCAATTTCAACAAATAAAATAGAAAATTACGGTTAAAAATAAAGTCCGAAAATGCATACTAATTTAATCTGACTATCATGCATAGAAGCCGAGTCATCAACAGCAATTAGAATTTGATAATTGTGCTGGGCTTTCTTCGTACGACGTAACCAAATTTTATCTTTCCTATAGCCACTAGCAATATATGCAATTAAACGACGCATATTGAGCCTTTTACCTGTCCGATAATCACCCCTGAAAATGAGAAACAAGTAAATTCACAGAAAATAATGCGTGATTCATGATACAAACATCAATACCGACATATCACAACGAATTCTTATCCCGAAAAAAACTTACTCAAATCTAGAAGCTATTGTTGGCTCAATAATCATTCGAAGATTTTCCGAAAACTCAGCTGCTAGAACAGAGACCGAATCAGAAATCCTGTTCCACCGATCTTCTGCATCAGTGCTCGACGAATCTACCTCCTCTGCATCCAATGAAGTGGTGGTCGAAACTGACTGCTCTACCTATTGCAAAAAATAATAATGAATAAATTGTTCACAACTTCTATAACTATAATTTCAAACTATTCTGTTTTTCTCCAGTACCAACATCTTCTATCATTATAAAAAAGTACTACTTTTATTCTGTTTGTATTCCGCAAAAAAAAAAATGAGATAGGAAGAATAATTTTAGCATAATAGGCAAAAACTGACTTGTTGAAAAATGAAGACTTAAAAATCTCGAAAATTAGAAACTGCAAATTGTGGATCACTAATTCAAAATAAAATAGAGTGTTCCCAATTTAACTCAGTTTCAAAATATAAAAAAGCCTTCTACCAAATGATAAAAATCTGTTGTCGAATGGATAATCGAGTTTCGGTAATCGGAATCCAAGATATTAGTTCCGACCAAATCATCCTCGGTCATTCCCTGTTTTTCTCCAGTACCAACATCTTCCATCATTTCTTCATCATTCTGCAAGATGCTATCCAATCAATCGTGCAATAAATGTGCCATCATTGTTTATTGCATGGTCATAGATTTTCCAATGTCAGTCCATCAGCACAGATAGTTTGAAGAATAGAAGTGATTTTAGAACACAGTACTGATTTAAAAATCTGAATTAAAATTCGAATGACTCTCAAAATTGAATTAAAGTTTTCTGCACTAGAACTACCAAAGAGCATATTAATGACACACCTGTTCCACATTTATATTCTTCAAATCTCCTAACTTGTCCCTACTTTCCTTTGAATTTTGTGCTTCCTCTATCGAACTTTTATCGATGATTATTTGCTCGCATAAACTGCTGTTATTTCCATCAACATGTCCAAATTCGGAGCCTTCTTCAACTTTTTGCTCACCTTCGCCTTTAAAGTGAGAATTAATGTATTATTATTGAACCAACTGGATAATTTCACTGCTTATCGGAACAATTTGAGTGATATGCGGACTAGATGATTAGCAAAAAAATCGATTAATAAGTTGTAAAGAACAAAAAAATCGGGAACTTATTTGAAGATTAACTTGGAAGAGCTTCTTGCATAGCAATATCAGTAATATCATCAGCTAATTTCTTCTCTTTCTCGGATTTCTCATCATCCTTTTCCATATTTTTCAATTTTTCACTTCCAATATCTTCGTTTTCTGTTTCGTTACAACCACTTTTTCCTTTGCCTACATTCGCTACTGAATCGCTATAAAAGATATTCTCATAATACTTTTAATTATAACTTCTAACATCATCACATTTATTTTCAAAAATATCATACGTCTCTTTCATATTTTCATTGTTCTCATCCATGACGTTCGGAATTGAAATAGTATCTTCATCTACAGTATCTTTTACTGCTTCTCTATCCATTCCCCCTGCACCGCCTTTGAGAACTTCATCATCATCATCCTTGTTTAACTTTTCCGTTGCAGCATTATTTGTTTCAGTCTAAAAAAAAGAATAATATCCGAAAAATTAATAACCAAATATAAAACATATAAGTTTTTATTGAAACTTCAAATTTTGTATGTGATGAGTCAGAATATAAATTTTGAAACCAGAAAGAAAAAATTATTCACTCCAATAATTTTAACAAAAAAGTATCACAAGATTCACAGGCGGTGCATAACCTATGTTTTTAAAACATTGATCAATCGCGGACGTCCTAAATATTTTAGTAAATGAATACCAAAAAATCTTCACCATTTCCTCCTCATCCTTTTCAGTACTCTCCGCTATCGTTTCCTCTTCAACATCACTATTCGATTGGTCATCATCCACATCTAGTTTATTGCTTACAAGATCTTCCATATCGCCTTCTGACTTGTTTTCACTGTCATTACCATCGCTGCGATATTCATCAATTCGTGCAGGATCTTCACTGTTCACATCACTGTTCAGTGATTCATGCTTATCCACATTCTCCACATCATCATCATCAATATCATCTTTGTTATCTTTACCATCATCATCATCGTCAAATGCATCTTTATTATTTTTGTCATTTTTAGAATTCCATTTACCATTATCTGCAGCCAGATTATCTGTTTCTTTATTTGCACCTGAAACAAAACTTCCCAAAGTAGGTAAGGACGGCAACATACTGCCAAAATAAGTACGTTTTATATATATATATGTTTCTACCAAAAATACATAGACTGCCGTATTCTTGTTCTCCGATTGAATAATTCAATCACTAGCCATTATCTGCGATGATCTTCTTATCCATCATTCATCTTTCAGTCAAACGGTATTTTTTTGGAAAAGAAAAAACCCTTAATTTTCCCGGTCAATTTCTAAATGAAAAGCGAGATAAGATGATCCTACCGATTATTCTTATTCGCATCAAAATATTGAAATCAAACCTTCACTGCCGTCAGCAAATTCTTTCGCACTATCATCATTCTCATCCCACAAACCGGGATCCAATTTATCTTCTTGATTCTGGTTAACATCCCCCATCTCCATATCTGCTTCAGGTTCGTTATCTTCATCTTCATCACTTTCTTCACTGTCTACAATAATCTTCTTGGATAAACGGATTCAAAATCAAAAATATGTAAATCACTGTATCGTCAGCATATGAACGAATTATTTTCTTGGAACTTCTTAAGTAATAACCAGTAAAGAATAACACTAACCGCCGTTCTGTTCGCAATCAATATTCTCTACACATCCACCAAAATCTTCATCCATATCAAGCGGTGTACTATCGCTATTATTTTTGTCTGGTTCATCACATTCATTCTTCTGGTCACCTCTCAAGCCCTCAACCTGAAAATGAAATATCGATAATGTTTTAGATTCTCAAAATAATTTCTTACGCCAAAAAATAACCTTAATTGTGCAAAAAAAAAAAATGAAAAGAAAAGAGCAAAAAAATATAAATTCAAAGGAAACTTCTGGCAATACACGTATTACTAATGGCTTTACTTTTCTTCATTATTGATTCCAAATAATTTACCTGTCCTGTTTCATCTATATCATCGCTAACATTCTTCTCACCTTTCGCATCTCCTAAACCAGCGATATCGTTATCACACGACTGCAGTTCATCTCCATCTTTTTCATTGCTCCCTTTTTGAGGCTTCGGTATCGGATTTACATAACCCTAACGAACAACTGATTATTATAATTACCAAAAATTAGCAATCAATCATTTTCCAGAAAGCTTAAGTTGAATTAAAACTTATGAATACTGTACTACAAAAATACATGAATGAAAATATCAATAGAGTTGAGTGAATAGATTAAATGAATCCTTTTTTTTTGCCTGTACTCCTAACACTTTTTAAACATTACTCAGCCATTCATTATAATCATGTTATATCTGTTATATTTTTATTCTCACATTAAAGCCAATAAAAAATTGTAAAACCAAAAAACAAACTTTTTCAAGCAATGCAGCAGTCATTGATTCGAAGTGTATATAATATTTGGCTAACTCAACTGCAGAATTTTCAATCACCTCCAGAATGAAAGATAAAACTTCACAAAGCGTACTACTTATTGAAGTTATTTGCTCCAGACGGTCACATTCGATCGATCCTTTACCTTTAGATAATTGCGCACACAAATTCCATGTTTCCTCTGCTGACTGGAAGAAAATTTTTTTAGTCTCTAATTTCATTCAAAATTCATTTTCAAAGATCAGTTTTTAAAATCGAAAACAAGATATGTACTAACAAAATATAGTTCTTGTCTTTGGAACAAGCTGACCAAAGAAACTATAGTGATTTCAACTTGAACTTGAATAATCTTATTTTTTCCATGAGCTATCTGCCAAATTAAAATCCATTTACAATAGACCCCTTTCTCAATCATGGGTGTTAGCTGGCTGCATGCTAGTTTTCGGAAATCTAATAATCATCAGCATGTATGACCAGGAGATTTCTAGTTATTACATGGTAAATTCAAATCTTTCTAACCTTATTAAAATCCAAATTTCGCAACAAATTGATCAGTTGCTTAAGAATATCCATAAAACGAGAATTTTCTAAATCAATTGACATTGCTTGTTTGTAAGTATTTTGTAGTATGATCAACAAAACTTGAGTTCCCTCCCACGGCATATCTTCAGTTGTTTCCTGAACATTTATTGGATTCGTCAACGCTTCTAATATTTCGCGTAAGATTTCCAGAGCCTCTTCAACCTCTTCAACCATTACACACGAAATGAGAGATAACCGAGAACTTATATCAGCAATTTCCGACTTCATAATATTTACGGTGTGTGTTATATCGGAACTGCAAGAGCTTGAATAAGTCATAAAATATCAACTAAACAAATTTTAGTAGTCCGACCAAAAACTAATAACTCTTCCAATAAATAACTGTTACACTTTATAGATTGAACGATAAAAAAAGTTAAAAGAGAAATTAGAAATTTGGAAATTGTAACTACTAATATTGAGAGAATCAATTCTGTAATATCAAAACAGTGACCATAAAATTTAATATAAATTTTTAAGATGGACAGAAATAGAGTTCATCACAACGTTTTTATATATTGCTTGGATTTTCTTATAATCTGAGGTTTTATATATTACAAAATATATCAACGAAAAAAGAATAGAGGTTTACCTTTTCCAAATAACGATACTCTCACAATCCAATGAATGAAGAAGTGAGCATTTAATATTTTCAAGAATTCCTGCTGCTGCATCTTGCACCTTCCTAACTGCATCAAGCGTCACGTCATATTCTTGATGTTGTTTATGCAATTGGGATAAGCATGTATCTTGAATGCCACTGAATTTGAGGACCTGAAAACTTTTTCACCTAATTAATCGATCAATCAATACGTATATTCTTGAATACTCATAGAAGTACTCATAGAATAGGACTCCTGAATACTCATAGAAGTACTCATAGAATAAGACCATCAACAAATTCTTGAACACTTTATCAGCAATTTTTCTGAAAATAAGATTGAAATAAGATCCAACCGTATTTCCTTCGAAATCAGTATTACATTCCGGAGCATTTTGAAGTTTGGTTTTCATAAATTCCAAAAATGAATTGAATTTAAGCACCAAATATTTTGACTCTTGTAGGTGACGCAACCAATTCTGACCGGGCAAACAAGGTTGTCTTTCATTCTATAAAAAGTACAAGAAAACAGCGCTGGCAAGATTTCGAACTTTAATTAAATCATGTCATTTTGAATTTTGCCCGAAATTAAATCAGTTATGTCATAATAAACAGTTGTCTGAAGTTCTATAATAAACTGAAAGCATAGATAACTGAAGAAGCTCTTCCTAAAGAGAAATTTAAATACCTTAGCATTTCCTAGATAATTCAACAACATTTTTTTAGCTTTATCCATCTTCCTCAGTGTTTCTTTAGTGGTTGTCATAGTCTGATGACACAAATACAGTTCGTTTAAGATAAATTCGGTAAGCCCTTTTAACTGGCTCATCGTCTTTGTACCGATTTGAGCATTTGGTTTATGGAAATTCTTCAAGACAATATTTCGTGATACTCCTCCAAACCTTATGAACTAAATATTAAAGTTTTATAACTAAATAACACAGCAATGTAAAAAGCAAAAAAAATTCAACAAATTAATCAACAAATCTTGATTAAAATCTATTGAAATAACAATACTAACAAATTAGAAACGTAAAACCTGAATTTATTTGTCCTATCTATAAAGATTGGTAGATAAATCTAAAATATAAAAGATGAATTAAGAATAACTGAAGAACCCATCCTCATCCAATTTACTTTTTTCTTTTTCCTTCTTCATAATATGTTTAGCTTAAAATTAAACTTGACAGACCTTCGTCAAAATCGTCTCATCTCCAGGCATTCCAGCAACAACGTTAGCTGTTAACTGTTCCGGATTAACCGTTAAGCCTTTTCGACTACTTAGACCAAGTGCAGCACTATCCTTCAACAAACGTGCAATTGCCTGAAAGCAATGAAAGAATTTCAGGGAAGGTATAATAAATTATTCTGATATCTATGTCATCCTTTATATCAGTCAAAGCACGAAAAAGTGTAGCCAGGGAGTAAGAAAAAACTCAGACACAGTTATGTCAGTGACTTTCTCATTCATTTAATTGATTACAACTGTTGATAAATTTGTGGGAAGTGAAAATGCATATAATAGGAGTTAATCTTTTATTACTTGTAAATAACAAGTACAATAATTCCGCTACACTTATATGAACATCATTGTAAAGCTGAATCACATTATTTCTTACTACGCAAATATGCATTTCGTTATAAAACCAGTCTAATGTCTCTTCACAAATTCTATCCATTCATGCACAATCAAATTCTGAAAAATGTAAAATACACATACTTTTTGTCGTTCACTCAGTGCGCGACCTTGCTGCTTTTCCTTTTTAGCATCGTCACCTTCGTACTGAACATCATTGCGAATAAGATCGTTACAACACTTGACG